TCTTCTGCAAATTCTACATATTGCCAAGTCCTCCCAGTGAAAAAGCCATAAACTTCTGAAATTCTTGCAGAATTCTGCTTTAATATAGATGTTTCTCTGTTGCCTTTCAGAGTCACTTCAGGTGGAAGAAAGTTGTCTTACAGGTGACAATTGGACACCACACACTAGCTCTTGCAAATGAGTATAATCACTCAGAGACCCAATTTGAACTTCAAAATACAGTGGAAAACCCTTAAGCAATACTATTAGGATTTACTAACTGGGAATTGGGTGGTAACATTCATTCTGGAACACATTTTCTGGTTTCTAAAGACAGGTTTGAAGAGTAAAGCAACAGTTTTGATGTAAAACAAAGGAGTACAGTTTTCCACAGGAAAATTCTTAGGGGAAAAAACAGCACTTAGATGAACACAGTATCATCTGTGAACATTGGCTTTCCCTTCTGAAGCTACCACAAAGAGACAATAATTGCTAACATGTGTATTTCACAAAATTTTCCATGTTTATTTTTTTTGAAAGCAACTAGAGAGTCCTAAAGATGCATAAAAGCATAACTTCAAGTATAAGTCACTGAGAGAAAACATAGAAGTTTTACAAGAATGCTGGAATGAAAAACAAAGTCACAACTCCTCCTCCTGCTCACCCCAAATCCCCACACTTTCAGTACTTCAATCTGCAAATTAATGACAATTCACGTGTCAAAAGACAACTCTCTAAATCTGCCAGCTTCTCTTAGCAACAAGGCAGAAATTGGGAAACTGTTTGTCTGCACAGCAGGAAAATTACTGGTGTGTTAAAATTCTGTGAAGTTTAATGAGACATTTAAGTTACAATTGTCAAAGGTGAACAAAATAAGATAAACATGTTAATCTTAAGGTAAAATTTAATGTTCAGATTATAAATTTGCTCATTAATAGTAATTAGTAAGACCAAAGGAAACAAGAATAGAAAAATGTTGCTGTAGTCAAGACAACGTGAAAAGAACTATCACAAGGGTTTTGTTGCAAATAAAACAATGGACCAAGTGCTAGAGATTAAATCCCTTATTAATTTTAAGTAAAGTCTATTATAAAATACATTCAAGAGGCTCATACTGAAAAATATACTGCATTGGAAAAATAAAGAAAGTCAGTCTCAAGATCTTAACAGCTGAGAGTAAAAGGTTGAAAGCAAAGCTGTAACTACAATTACTTTTACATCACATTACATGCTTCTGTATTAATTTTATGCTAGCCATATGACTGTTTTGGTAACAGAAAAAATTAAATATAAGAATCTAAAATTACAGTTGTTGAGTGCAATATTTGAGCAGTATCCTTCAAAATTAAAATGTTTTTATCATAATAATTTCTTGTTTTCAAAGGTTTAGAAATAGTTTCTAACCTTCATTCAGAATGGAACTTGAAAACCTTTTTCCATTTAACAGAATAAAAGGGGGTTTTAAAGATACTTGCTTCATAACACTGCAGTCATGTCTAGTTAAAATGCAGTCACCTCCAGATTCAACAAGTTTTGAACTTGAGCTTCTCTAATATGAGATTTTTTTTTTAGGACAGTGATAATTTTGAAATATTTTCTTCAAGTTCGGCAGAACAATCTATCTTGCATCTTTAGGCTAAGCTAGCTTGCTACATGACAGAGGCTGTATAATTTTGTATTAATCACCTTTGTACCCTGCTGTTAAACAAAAGACAGCTCTGAAGCTAGTGCAGTGGGGAGGCTGGAAACAAATGGAGAGTGAGCTGGGTTATAGTGGCACTTACAGTACCTACTTTACAAAGCCACTATACGGTGGTATGGTACCGTTGTAAAGCCATTGGTTTTAGCCACTGACTGATCTTGCTCTTCCTGTAACCTACGCAGCACACAGGCTGCAGCACGAGTCTGCTGACATGAAGGGCAAACTTGATGCTGCCCCTTCCAGATCTGCTAGATGGGCTTTTGCAAGCACTGGACAGACTTGTAAGACCTCTGAACTCTCCCAGATAGAACATAAACACTACCAGCTGCTCGATTTCATGTAATTTCCCCCTCTAATCTCTGAAGGCATTCTAAACTTTCTAATCTCAAAATATTTACTTCCTTTTCAAAGCAGTTTACATATCTATCCAAGAAAACCAAAAGTACAAAGACCAACATCATTCTCCTCCCACATCCCATATCAGATGACAAAAGCAGTGTTTTTTGCTCAGGCCCATAGTTATAGAAGATTCTCATAAAGGCATGTTTAGCAACAACAAGATGAAAATAAAGCAAAAGCAGTTCTACAATTGGAGTAGTGTTTGCAGAAGTCCAGAGGTCTGAATACAGTCAGCTGCTGTCTTTAAGGGTGTAGGTGTCAAGGTGTTGGTCATGGCGGGCTGCAGGGGTGGCCTCTGTTGGAGGAGGCTGGGGGGCTGCTCTGCGTCAGATTTGGGTGGTTCCAGTCAGCTCCTAAGAAGACCCACTCCAACACACATCTGAGGCCATCCACCATGTGTGTGGCACCTCTCTGGAAAACGTATTTAATTGCAAAAAACACCCCAGGGACAGAGAAAGGGGGAACCAGAACTGAGAAACAACAGAGGAGATGCCAAGGTTAGAAGAGGAAGAACAGCAGCTTCAGGGCCTTCAGAGAACATATCCAAACTGCAGCCCATAGAGGACCTCAAGTTGAAGCAGAGGGACGATTTCCTGAAGGAACCATGTCCCACAGAGGACACACTCTGCAGCAGATTTTTCCCAGAGGACTGCTACCCATGGAGAGGACCTGTGTGGGAACAGGCTAGAAGTGTGAAGAGGAAGGAGTGGCAGAGATACACTGCAACCCCAACATTCCGCATGCCACTTTTCTTGGGACTAGAAAGCAGCATGTAGAGAGAACTGCAGGGAAGGAGTGAAGTTCAGCGTGGGAAATGGGGTGAGAAAGCTCTTTTGGTGTTTGTCTTTGTGTTTCACATTAACCTCATCTATTTCAAATAAGCAACAAATTGATTTTCCCCAAGTCAAGAATGTTCTGCTATGACAATAACCAGTAAGCAAGCTCCCTGTTTCCCTCTTGACCCATCAGCTTTCTCGTCCTACTCTTCCCCTAATCCTGCTGGATAGGTGGTGGGTGGGCATTTGGCTGTTAGCCAAGGCTAGCCCACCACAATTCTGTATTATTTAAATCAATAAAAATCTCCTTTTGCAAAAGCACAGCAATTAGAAGAACGTAAAGTAATTATTCTGTATTAGAATTAAAGTACTTTACCACGAGTGTGCTACAAACCCCAGAAAATTTCACTGACAGATGTGACTTTAAAGAAGTTGCAAGTCTGTGAAAGCTGAGCAACTTAAATCCTGCAGCATTTTAGAATCTTCTGCTATTTTAACTTCTGGGAAAACAAGTCCAAATAAGCTGTGACCCCTTTTAAAATGTATTAACTTATGCCGTATGAGGTAGCAGTCACATGAGACCAAAAGTGACATTTAGAATTACATTTGTTTACCATTTGCAGGTAAAAATAAGTACTTTAAGTCCACAGAAGAAGTAACAAATAACTAACCTAATTCAAATTCTATTTTAATATATTCTGTATTATTATATACTAACATAGTGACAAGAAAAATTCACTTCAACCATGCTCTTAAGCAAAATCTGATAGACATGAGTGAACTGTGTTTGCTCAGCGTTGAGAATAAAAGAGAAGCCTTTGAGGGGGTACCTAATAGTAGCCTTCCAACACCTCCAAGAAAGTCAAAGAAACTGAGACAGACTTCACAGAAGTCTGTAGTAGAGGGATGAAAAATAATAGGCAGACACTGGAATAAGAGTTACTCCAACTAGATATAAAGAAAAACTTTTTTACTGTTACAACAGTTGAACACCAGAACAGGTTGCCCAGAAAAGCTGTGCAGTCTCCAGCCTTGAAGACTTGAAATCAGACTCGATAAAGCCATGAGCAACCTGGTCTCATCTCTAATTGTCCTTTCTTTAAGTGGAAGGCTGGAGGGAAAAAGACCTCAAGAGGTCTAGTCCAACCTGAATTACCCTATGAACAAGCTTCAAGTCTTGGATCTACTATAATTCCTCCAACCACTTAGATGAAGCAGTAACTAAATATTGACAGAAGTCACAATACAGTTAGACGGGGTCAGACCTTTGGCATGTGGACAAAGACAACCATAGAGGCAGAGGCAAGGATTCAAATGTGGAGGTATTCTGTCTGAATATGCTCATTCTTTGAATCGTGTACCACTAAAACATATGGAGTAAGAAGTGTGATATACACCACATGAGAACATCTTGAATGAATAACAAGAAAACAGCTAGAGGACTGCACAGGACACCAGCCAGTGATGGCATGATTCTAGAAATAAAAGCCTGAAGTACAGCCTAGACATGCCTCCAGCAAAAGACACTGGAGAGAGAAGACACTGCTCCTTTTTAAGTTGCTAGAGTCGTTGTGTAGGCTTAGCATGAACTATCACTGCCATTAGAATAACAGATATTCTAACATCATACTTGTAAAAAATTCAACTAGTCAGCATAAAACGTGACTTAATCTCTTTAGTCTCCTAAAGAAAAGTGAAATAATTGTATCTTAAAGAAATATTTAAAGTTAGAACTGTTTTTTCTCCTCAGTATTGTCAGCATCTTTTATCACAATTAAAAAAATCCGGAGATTTGCACATTTGTCTGCAAACATGGACAAATAGGTCTCTTTGAAGGCTGCAACATTGCACTTATTACTATGGAATACTGTCAGGTTCTCTACAGATATAAAAAAAAAACATACTACCTGAACAAGGGCTGGGAAAACAGACTATGATAAATAATGTTATTATACCACGAGTTAGGATGAGACTTTCATGTTTCATAGGTGTAAAAATTAAAGCACCTAAAACTAATAAATGCTGCACATAAAAATCAGAGCAATTCCTGGAATAAAATAAGTTATCAGCATACTTGAAATTTCAATTTTAATCTAAAGAAACTTTTTATTTTCCCAACAAAAGTAGAAGGAAAATTATCTTACCTTATCTAGCTTTTTTTGCCAGCTTTCTTCACATTTTACCATGAGTTCAATACAATGAGAGAGTGTAGCAAGGATTCCAGCAGTAGTTGCCTTGAAAGTTATAGCTTCCCCTTTAAAGTCTATGCCATTAATTCCTTTCGGTGTCACATGTGGAAACACTAAAAACAAACACGAACCATTCACTGACAGCTGCCTTCAACTCAAGCAAGCATTTTACATGTGTGCTTTATATTTCAACTGTCTGATGAAAACAGACTGCCTAGAAACGTAACAAAAATAAAAATTTATAGTAATTTCAGCTATCCACAGGATAATGAAAGAGATTCAAAAGGAGGAACACATCCCCTCAGCTTCATCTTGCTATACCGTGTTTCAAGTCTGCTTGTAATGCTCGATTACTCTGCACTCTGCAAATCACGCGGGTGGAGGGAGTGGTAATACATCGTAACAATAGCAGTTTGACAGCTTGAAGGGGTGCCTAATTAACAAAGAGCAACCTTAAAACTTATCTGATACACCACTAAGAAAGGAACAATTTCAAAATGCAGTCAAACCCAAAATGTAACATTCAAGGTTGCTTTAAACAGGTAATTACAGATTTAAAAACATCAAAGTAAAAAGATACAAGATAAAAGTATCAAATATGTTGAATTATCCAAGTACTGTGGGTTTTGCAGTTCCAACAACTACTTCATGCTGTCAACCAAGCCATCTGTTGCTAAGGCTATTTAAACAAGTCATTTAAAACTTGTGACAAAAAAAGTACCTATTATATGTCAAACTCGTACGTAGGTTGACATAATAACAAATCTAACACTACACATTAATGCCAGAAAATATTAGAAAGCAGAAGTAAGATTCATGCTGAAGCTGACTGAGCCTGCAAGTTAAAGTAACTCCTGCTATGCCACAGGGCAAGCTAATGGCTTATGACTTCGAGGGATATCACTTTCCTCCCCCCCTGCCAGCATGCCAATTTGTCAGCATGCCCCTGTAATGGTTTAAAAAGTACAAATAAATATTTGTGTAAGTTTATCCAGTATGTCTGCAAAGGCAAAGCAGAGCTTTCAAGCAGTTCAGTTCTTGTAGGGAAGGGAAGTGCAATTGCTGTTTTCTAATGGTAGAGCCCTGCATCTTCACTTCGGGAACAGCAAGCAATTGTCACATAGTCTAAAGCAATGGTTTAGGTCTCTAAAGGTTTTATATAACTTCCTTTCAGAAGGAATTGAACTAATTTTTAAACAGATGATTACAGACTACAAACTGCTTCAAACACCTCAAGAAGCATACATACTGTGGTAGAACACAGCTTATTTTTTGTTTCATGTCAATCAAGAGTACTCCCTGAAAGGTAAAGATGATGGGGCTGGAGAAAAAAAGTAAAGTCAGAGAAAGAAAAATCTGTTCAGAAACAATAATGAGCAGAGCAGCTCTCCCTCCTCCTAACAGCTGCAGAGGGAACACGGAGGAGGCTGAGACTGAAAGTGGTATAAGCTGGCAAGGAGGTGATGCAGTGGATTCTCTGAGAATAATGAAAATAACCCAGGGGTTTCACCCATAACAATTCATGACTGAAAAACAGTTTATACTAATAATTTGTCCCGTTGGTGTAGACTCTGTTCACATGCAGGTTTACCAGCACAGCTATATGCTTTAGACACGATTTTTCTCTTTTAATTATGGAACATGCTAAAGATACTGAAGAAACTACCACTAGCTGCAACACTGCAAGATCATTTCAGAAATCTCTGGGGTAGATTATAAGGGAGATGCAGCAATGCAGACTCATTTCCTGAAAAAAAGCCAGCTTTTATTCCTGGGTATCTTCACGTCTCAGCTACCGGTCATCCATACAGTTTCAGTCATGTGTTGCAAGTCATTCGTTAATGACTACTCTCAGAGTAGCCCTGATACATGTGGTGTTTGCAGTTTTAAAATTAGCGTACACAGTTCCTTTCAGCCATTATAACTCTGGGTAAAAATGAACTTGTTGCAGGAAGATGCAAAACCTGTTTCTTTGAAGAGATGGTCACTTAAGAAATTCCTTACAACGGATAGTATTTTGATTCATTCCCAATCACAGGAGACATCTTCCCAGATAACATACCAGAAGATGACCTCAAGCCTTACCTGGGTAACATTTGAAGCTGTATTTGTCTTCAGATGTTGTATTTGGAGAGCCTGAGTATCTTTTCTGTTCCTTTTTTAAACCTTTTTTTTCATGTCAACTACAAATCGCTTTAAAATGAAATCTCTCACCAGGAGATCCATATGGTTCAAGGTAAAGACTAATCGGAGAGTGTTCCTAACACTGCAACTGCTTTTCTAACTTGATGATCAAGCTGCATGCAGCCAACTGAAAAAAAGCAGCAGGATGATTTTCCTCCTACTTTAATTTCAATTTCAACATCTTCCAAGTGGTTCCTTTATAATTATCCTGTCTTTTAAGCATTTTGCTTTATTTCTGATTCATTTTCTCTTGCCTTTCACATTGCAGATTCTTCATACAATGCTTCAGCCTTTAATAGGTCTTTAGCCCTTCTCTCCTACACCTCTGTATCTGTTAAGATAGCTCAGTTTTCCCTTCTTGCTCCTAAGATTGTCTGTAACGCTTTCCCAGATGTCCCAAACATCTTGTGTTTGTTCCAATCTGTTTTCATATGAATCAGAAAATTATTTTAAACACAGTAAGTAGAAAGAAGTTCCTTTATATTTTCCATTTTATGCCACCTTAACATCTTATGTCACTGAACTAATTCTAAGTGAAAAAGAAACATTCAGGTGCATGACCCATTTATTGATACCTACTGTTGTTGATCTTCTTGGATAAAGTAGGATCAATATGCGTAGTTGTCCTCTAAGAACAAGCCCATTATTGGTGAATGTTCCTCCTCCATTCAAAGCATAAAAATCCAGCATAAATCCTACCGTGTTTTACATCAAATTTCCATCCTTAAACCTCTGTACCATTTTCATCATTATAGTTGCAGCACAAAAACACCTTCCATATTCAAAAAGGTTCCTTACGTCAGTTTCACCTGCTCTTCCTACTCTTACATAATCTAAATCCAAATACGTTCATTTTACTGAGCAGATGGACAGGAACACTTCCTGATCAAGATCCCAGCAGGTAAATATGCATCAGCCAGACTTTCACTTGGTGTTTTATACATTCTTTAGTTACTAATTTTTTTCACTCTTCCTAGCTCTTTACTCAAACATCCTAGAGAACACAGAGAAGAAAAAGCCTCCCTGTCCAAAATTTCTTCAAAGCAGTACACAATTCTCTGTAGTCATGTTAACTTCCTCCTCCCACCCAGGGAAGGTGCAGAAGGGAACAAATTTCAGAAGACAATGTGAATACGGTCCCTCAAGTCAGTCTTAAATTTTATGATGTGAGCACTAGATTGGTTGCACTGGTGGTTTGGACAGCAGGCTCAAATACTCCTTATAATACTAGGCTACACAAGAGGTTGAACCCAGGCTTCTCGCTTCCTGGAGTACTGACTGCAGAACAGCCCCCAGAATAAACAGGCAACCACCACTCCTCATCTACAGTTAAAAGATTGTTTCAGTCCTTTCAGGACTGTATAAAGACTTCAAGAATGGAACCTGAAATCTGAGAAACCAAAGAATCTTAACAACTGCTCTGAGGCTAAGCTTTAGAAAGGGGTGAAGTTTACGATAAATGTTTCATTATCGGTTAGTCTGAGTAATTTTCTAACCAATACATGGGCATGGCTGTCTCAATATGGAACATCTACTTTCCCCAGTTGATAAGAATCACTTATGAGTCCACTTTAGGGCAGAGACTCTTAATTTTTCATTTCTATTCAAGCTTTGCAGCACTCAGCTACTAAATATTTAATGGGTCTAGCCCTTAGAAATCAAACTAAGGAACAGAAAAACTAAATGGAGATAAAGCTTTTCATAGAAGTAATTGAAGGAAAGTAAATTTAATAGAATAGGGAATCAGAATAACTGGAATTAGAAGTTATGCAAAGAGCAAGGGGTTGCAGAAATTATTTTCTGTAGTGAGTCATAGTAAGTGAGTTTATATACATGTACTCATAACACAGCAATTTCTTAGCATGTAAGTTCCCAAAGACATGATACAGAACTTTTAATGAGGAATAAAGATATCACTTAAAACTCCTGTTAAATTCCTGATGATAAAAATAAAGAAGTTACTTATTTGCCATTTAAATACCTTAAGATGACCAAATCTACTAAAAATATACTTTCCTAATGACATTTCCCATATCCTATGTGTACATATAGAAGTACACGAGAAAAATGTAGGTATGATGTTCTAAAGGTAAATTAAGCTGAAACTTCTACATTATCCTACAAAAAATAAAATTGACAAAGACATCTTTTTCAAAATGAATCATGCAGTAAAATTAAATTATCACTTAGCTTTTTTTTTTTTTAAAGAAGGATCTTTGTTTCATGAGATTTGTCCTGACTTAACAGTCCTCAAAAACGTACACTTGTATATACACAGAAGGGATAGTGGAACTGGACTTGCTTAGAGGTGAGCATTGCAAGATTACTTACCTTTGGTGATAAAAGGTAAGAAAGATTTATTCAAAACTTGAGTTATATGCTACTTAACCTTTGAAATCAGCATTAAAATTAATTCTCAGCAGAGGAAGCTCGGGATGTAATTGAAAAAAATCTACTCATATGATGAATTTTAGAAGTATCCTGAAAGCTCCTTCCATTTCCTTTCCTCGTAACAGTTTTGGCTATACTCTAGAAAAAGCACTTAAATACAACGCAGAAAGATGTAACAGGCAGACGACAGACAATTAAAAAGAAAACAGGAGACACAGAAAAGGCTTATTTTGCCCACGTAACTTCCAGGTTCTTGATTAAAGTGTTTACATTTTTCAAAATGCTTTTAAGGAAGTACTTCAGGAGATTCTATCAGATTTGAAACTGGAGGTAATTCAACTTCAAAGTTTTGTGAATCGAAATCTAAGAAATATCTTAGGACTAACTGAATTGTCAACATCTACACAGTGTAAAAGCTGAAATATTTTGTTTGGGAAACAAAAAAAATAGGCCAATGAGAATGCAAATAGATTTTAAGTGCCAGACCGAAAGTACCAGATTTCTAGCCCAGCAAGAACTGCATGAATCCTTCACATTTGCTGCATGTATGCAGTGAGTACAATAATGAGATCATTTAAGATAACTGAAATCAGAATTCTGTTAATGATAACGGAAAATACAGTAAAAAAAGTGCTAATATTATAACGAATGAGAATTGGTAACAGTGTTGACTTTATCACTACACACCCATAGAACTTGGAAAACCCATACTGGGACTGGAAAAGCATTGTGCTCCACCACACTCCTAAAGTGGTAACACTTGTAAGAAAAACTGCAGTAACCTGTCGCAAATATCAGCTCCCAATATCTGAATGATGAAGCTCTTTCATCAGAATTTTGCAGTGAATATGGCTTTGGACACAGATTAGCAAATTCCAAGCTTACATTAGTATTTGTATGAATTAAGTGTAACTCAGAGGCATAAGAAGCACCTAATGAACAGTAACATGAGTAAGAACTTGCTGTCACATACATCTGAATAGCTACTTTTGCCATTTTCTGCCTAGAAAAGAGCATACATACCAATCACGTATCAGGGTTACCATACCATTCATATGAATTTTCAGTGAAAAAGCTGGGACAGACTTACATTTTTCCTTACTGCTGTTACTGTTATGTACAAAATCACCATCAGAACGCACTGCAGGGAAATCATCTTCATCATCTTCTACCACTAAATTGGAGAGAGAATGTTATGGGAATGAGAAACCTTTTCAATTCTTTGTGTGCAAGAAAGAATTAAGATCATCTTTGTGGCTAAACAGCATGTAAGCTTTCTTTCTGCAACAAGAGTCATGAATCACACCCACACACCTCCCCCGCTTTGTTTTTTTGGTGTGGTTTTGGTTGTTTTGGTTTTTTGTTTTGTTTTGTTTACTTTGGTGGAGGGTTTCATTACTGGTTTAGTTTGGTATTTTTTGATGCAAGTCTACTATCAACATTACTGTCAGAAACCATAAAGAGACTAACATTTGCTCAGTGTTGAAGTTTAGCACCCAATTCTACAGTAAGAACAACAATATCTTGGTGCTACAACTGAATAAGCAGGGAGCTACAATTCAGCAACTATACTCTTCTACACTAGAAAGTTTGCAAAGAAGTAGAATTGTACATCTACTGTTTTCTTACTACCAAAAGTTTCAAGCTGCCAGACCAAACCCAGGAATTGATATGAATCCCCAGGAGTGCACTTGGATACAACAAGCTGTGCTCTGAAAAAATCAATTCAGAAATATGCAGACATCCACACCTGAGTCTACAAGGGCCTGATACACTCAGTGCTCTAGTTTCAACCACTACATCTTATGAGGATTCATTATGGCAGCCCCTTTGCCTTTTTAAAGAATGTATTGTTTCTATCAAAACTAATAGCCTATATTTTTTTCAAAATAAAAAATAAGAGGCACAGTGATAAACTAACTTGAATTCATCTTACAAGAGTAAACAGTTACTGTTCTGTAACATCACTAAGCACATTTCTTTTGTACTATTGACAGCTACAGTTTAAGTTAAGCAGGTTCTTATAGGAATTTAGCTTCTGAAGTGAAAACTTTTTATGCAGAACTATTTATGATCGACTCCTATAATAAAGAGTAATTTTAAGAGATTTTGTTTATATGGTATCGAATGCTACAGTAACTATTTTAATGGCTATTACTGTGTAAAAAGCTAAATTCTATGGAAATACGTGTCTTCTGTTAGTTTTACCTTTATCCCTCTGGAGTTCATCTTTGGAAACTGCGTCTGCACAGTCATCAAAGTATTTCTGTAAAGTATCAACTTGTCTACACAAGATGTCTCTAAATGTTTCCATTTCTGCAAGCTTCTCACGTAAGCTATGGCCCTTCTGAAAATACAAGAGAAAAACGACTAAAATGCTTCTGAACACCCAGTAATAGTCCAACACATTAAAAAAATTCTATTTCTGCAGCTGTGAAGAACAAATTCAAGTACAGCTATGAAATACTATTAATGTCAGAAGGGTGTAAGAAATTGCATACAAGCATTTTGTCCACTGGTCTCATTGTTAATTCTTGACTGCCTATGCTACTTTAGAGCATTCAACAAAAGCTTATTAAAAATGTGATCTTGCATGCTATTAACTTTATGCCTATTTGCCCGAAAAACAGTAACCTCTAGTTTAAGATCTTTGATCTACCTTCATTCCCCTTTCTCATGTTGCTCCTCTTCTGCTCTCCAGAAGTACAGCCCATCGAGGCTCATGTTAAATATTTATGTGCATGAGATAAGGAAAGCCGTAATTTTTCAACTGGTATCACCCAAATATATTAAGTCACAGAATCAGCATTCCTTTACATTTAGAGGCCTTGCTATTCTGTGGAATAAACTAGGAAAGGTTATAAATGCTTTGAGAGGCTTGATTTCCTTGCCACTGGAAGGTGACACCATAATTTAAAAAGGACAACTGTACAGAGGCATGAGAGAGCTTCCTGCACAATTGGTTCATCATATGATGAAATACTAACACTTCCAGTAAACAAAATATTTTGTATTTTTTCTATAGCTGTGTGGCAGTCTGCACATAAGTTACTCCTTTTTCAGTTGTGTGTTACTTACGCACCAATACCAACAAAACTTTGTTCACTAACCTTGAACGAAGAGGTGGATGTTGCAGAGTATCCACTTGCTCCAGAAACAAGAGACACCATGGAGCCATGGCGTCGTAAGCTTGACTCTGATCCATAGCCAGATTCAGTCTAAAAAAAACAAAAAAAAAAAAAAAAAAAAAACCAAAAAAACCACCAAAACCAGACATGAAACTAGAGTGCTGAGGCTTTTAATAAAAAGGAAATCATGAAAGCAAGATTAATGTCATCGTCTCTGAAACCCATCCATTTGTTTCTTGTCAGGAAGATACAGGGGCTTAATAACTCAAATTGTGCCTGCATTTTTAAGGTATTGATGCAGCATCCATAAAGTTACTATGAATCTATTATCATAATGATTTGTGAAAAATTAGTTATGTATAACCTATTATAAACTCCCAAAAGAACAAGGCAATATATATTTAAGGGGTAAAAAAAAAGGGATAATGTGCCATTATTTTGGCTTACGTAACCCCTACCACCAATTTTTACACATCATTCAAAACCTGAAGTATTCTGCAATTAATCAGGAGTTTAACATGGTTCGGTTTGAAGACAATCATTCTCAGTCAATCCTTCCAATCATTCAAATAGTGCAATTTTATTTTTAAAGGCAACAAAATAGAGATCATAGATAACCAGACAATTACTGCTAACAAGATTTTTTTTTGCTTGTTCCAAGCTCATTTTGCAAAACTCTTTCTACCAGACTGAAAAAAATTTTTTGAATATCAGTTCAAGTGTGAAACAGTATACCTGGCTTTGGTAATGTATCTGCAATATTGAACCACATATTGAACTACAATGCAATTCAATGCAAAGATTATGCCTTAATTCACTGGGTTGTAATTTTAAGTGTAACAGAAATCAAATAATTAAGATTTGATTGGGGTTTTTTTGCAAATATGCAAGTAAAGACTTTTAGCTTTTTTAATGGACTTTATATCCCACAAAGGCTTGGCAAGTAAAAATGAATTTGCTAAAGGAATAAACAGCTTTTTTAAAGGACAAATGTGAGTTTTGGGCATAAAGTTATTTTGTTTCAGAAGTGTTTAATGAGAATAAATCTCAAAAGAGCATTTTGTAAGAGTCACACAACACATTGAAGCATGAAACATTCTTCATTTCTTTTAGTATTTCCTCTATATGTAAATCTAAAAAACTTCTGGTATACTGATAATTCAGTGTTTATTTAATCAAATGCCCAAATATTCAGATGGCTCTGAATGTGCTTTTACTACTCAGTTTGACAGGATTCATTCTATTCTCTGAAAGTTATACACACCAGAAAGAAGGTAAACTTTCATTTCAATAGGATTTGATTAATAAACAGATCATTTTTAAAATGTAGCAAAAATACCCACTGCATAGAAGTCAGAGCACTTTAACAAAGACAAGCAAATGTCTTCTGTTTGCTTTCTTTAGGCGAGAAAGACATGCCTATGCAAAACCTGGATTTAAGTTTAGGAAGTGAAATCTCTAAATTTATCTAGTTATTTAATCAAAGTCACATCTTAGTAGTAGCACTCTAAAACTTAAGGAATAGATGTAATCTTAGAAGTAGAGAATCTAGTGATTTATGTTCTACATTTGAACTAAATAATTTTCTCCCCATATTACCCAAGCAGTCAATGCTAGTGAATTTAATTTAAAATAAAAACTTAGAGTGAAATAAAAAAAGTTTCTTTCCATATCAATTTTTTAAGGTACCTTTTCAGCAATATCTTCATTTGATTGTCATTTATGCTTCTGATTAATAATTCCACTGAACATTTTATCCATACTTCAGGATTGTATACAAGATAGCATATACAGCTATGAGCTGTATACAGGTATCAACTTGCAAATGCTACCAATAAAACGGTACTACATAAAAAGCATTTAGGCAATTTTAACTATTTGCAACCAAGAAAGAAATTCAGCAGGCAGAGGAGCAGACCAAACAGCACACAACATGAATCCAAAGTATGTGCATTTACACATCACATTCACAAAACTGCCTAAGATAATTATGTTTTAATAGCTGGGGGTGGGGGAGAGAGGGGAGAGAGGAGAAAGAGCTGTATGGGGATGATATGAAAATTACATCAAGCATACTTATTTGTCAGAAGAAACAGAAGTATTCCTTTACAACTGATACAGAGACAAGCCATTCAGCAGACATATGCAAGCAGCTTAACATAAACAACAGATGCATGCATCATGCAAAGCCCCACCATTCTACTACCGCAACATCTAAAGGAGAGCAGGTCACTGCTGCATTTATGTCTTGCAAAGCAGATCATTAACTATTCACTGCAGAAATACTCAATTACATTAAAAGAAATGTTGACACAAGCTTCTTCTGTTTATGCAATTTTTAATTTCCCAAGATAAAAATTGGAAAAGTAGGTAGAGTCCACATGATAGAAGCTAACAGTCTCTGCTTGAAAACAAAACAGCTTGCAGAAGTTGTATCGATTCATACCATCAAACACTAATGCTAATTTAGTATGCTCAGTATAGATGCAGTTCTTTGAAATTCCATGCATACATCATAGCTTCAAAGCTACACTAAAACTGGCATTTGTTAGTACATTGCAACACCTTCAGCTTTCTAAGGCGGTGCAAAAAAATCCATTAATCCTTTCATTATGATAGACAAGAGGAAAGAGCCACATGATCCAGAGCTTCATGTGATTCTTTACTGGAGCAGATGCTGGTATCAGCAACAAGGCAGTAAGTCAGAAAAGCTGCTTTCAGTAAGTGTTTGCAGAATCATATTGCAGACCTCCATCATGGTTCACACTGATCTGCCAGCTAAGGATTTCCTAAAGTGGGTCAACAATATCCTCAAGTAAAACACAGACTGACTCACAGCAAAGCTCCCCCACTTTAAAAAAAAAAAAAAAAAAATCACATAAAGCAGATTATTCTCACATGTCTTCAAGGAATTTTTTCGATTATGTCTCAACCTAGCGCCTGTGAAGCACTTTAATGTAATGTTTGTCAAGCAAGGCAGATATTTTCAGTTAGCACTATAAATTATTTAGTATTTTACATAACACAAGCAGCAGGCAGCTCCTCCCTCTCAGGCATATGGCTTACCCCAGGGGGTGGTGAAACAGACATTAGGATACAGTGACTGTAATATTGTTCTCTGCAGTATTTGTGAAAAATCATACTCAAACAACCAAGATATCAAACCGCAGTATCTTATAAAAAACAAAAATGTACAAAAAAAGAAAAAATGCAAAACTAAAGTCCTGGAAGGTACTATGAAAGACTTAGTAGAGACTAAGCAGACAAGTTTCGTAAGACATCTATGTTCCATGAATGATTTTTACACTTGCTGTAAATGCTTCAACATATACTTGAAGAAAGAAAGGTTACTGCTAGGATGAGCCAAGGAAGGGATGGCTGTAGACAGCAAGACCACCACAGACACTATGGGTACTGCAGTTCAGAATCCACTTCTGAGGATTAAAGTTAGATTAAATTAACATGTTTCTGTAGGCTTGATTTTTCAATTGCTCCATAGCCACTGACAATGGAAGTTTAAGGTTTTAAAAATGACAAGGTAGTTGTTAGCAAAAAGGCAGAGATGAGAATTTAATAATCCAGACCACAGAAGCTGGATGATTTCCCTGCCTACAGTAGTGCAGGAAAAGAAAAAACCTTGTAATAACTTTCTTTGCAACTGCAAAAGCAGGTAAAGAAATAAAGACATACTTTTCCTCCAACAGTGATACATGTTGCAATTCCACAATAAACAAGCATACTATGTGCACAGGAGGAAAAAAATCCCCACAGGAATTAAAAGTTGAAAAATAAATATAATAGATAGCTGAAGCACTATATAGCACTATAGCCCTAAGATTACTGTAACTGCCATGCTCACTTGTCCAAGCTAAGTAACAATTACCTTTTGGGTCTTTACTTCTCTGCTCTATGTACTCTTGGCAAACCACCATGTGTTGCCTGCAAACAGTAAACCTCTAACAGCTGCATGAGCTAAAGTGGTACACAGGCAGATAAATCCTGGAGCTATATA